TGTGCATCTTCATACTGTACATCTGTCATGTACACACTGTGCATCTGTGTCCATGAAGGTAGTGTTCCTGAAGTGCACCGCAGGAGAACTGATCTTCTGGCGTGGTTCACTTCCCACTGAGGTGTAGCGGCTTTAAGCCCAGTTTATGGAAATGGGAGTCTCCTCCCTTGTTTGCTCCAAGGGCCTTATGGTTAAGGGCAAGCAAAACCTGGGGGCATCTGAACCCCCAGCCTCCGGGCTTGGGCCTGCAAGTAGATTTCATAGTCGTTAGGGCTGGAAGGGACCTTGAAGATCATCAAGTCCAGCCCCCTGCCCCAGGGGCAGGAAGTCGGCTAGGGTCAAAGGATCCCAGCAAGGTAAGCAGCCAAACGTTTCTTGAAGGAGTCCAGAGTAGGTGCCTGCGCCACATCTGGAGGGAGTTTATTCAAGGCCTTGGGGGCTTGGACAGTAAACACATTTTTCCTTATGTCCAGCCTGAAACAGGTTGGTCTTGCAGGAGTTTATGACTGATGGTCCTTGTCATCCCTGGGGGCGCTCTGGTGAAGAGACGTTCCCCCAGATCCTGATGCACACCCCTCGTGTACTTATAGGCAGTCACCAGGCCCCCCTGAGCCTGAGCTTTTCCAGCTGAAGAGTCCCGTGGCTCGCAGCCTCTCGTCCTAAGGCCTGTTCTCCTGCCCTCTGATCATGCTCGTGGCTCTCCTCGGCACTCTCTCAATCTTCTCCCAGAACTGGACGCAGTACTCCAGCCGCGGCCTCGCCGAGGCCGAGTACAGCGGGAGAGTGACATCCTGAGATGTACTTGAGAAGCATCTAGGATGCAAGCCAGAGTATTGTTTGCTTTACCAGCTGCGACATCGCATTGGTGGCTCACGTTCATCCTGTGGTCAATCACGACCCCCAAGTCTCTTTCAGCCGCGGTGCTAGCGAGCGTAGCATTGCCGAGCCTTTAAGGTCCCCCTGTGGAGAACCTGGCATTTTTTGGTATTGAATGGCATCAGTTTTGTATCCGCCCTCTTATTAAGCTTATCCAAGTCAGCCTGGATCACTAGCCTGTCCTCAGGTGTGGGCACTAACGGCTGCCCGCCAAAGGTTTTGGGAACATCCGAAGCCCAGCTGTGGCTGGAGGATGCTTGCTGGTAGTAGGGCCACTTCTGGTTCTGGACTCTTGGATTTGGAATTAGTTTTGGCTAATTTGCCCTCGGATACAAATTATAAATCAATCAATCAATCAATCAATAAAATAAAACAACCCCCCCCTGCCAGGGTGCTAAACTGCTGGAAACCTACCTAGGTATCTCGCTTACTGTAATACAGAAAAGTGTTTTCAAACAGCTACTCTGCCGGCACAGTTTGCTCTGGGTTCCTCTGTGACATCTGTGCCCTTCCCCAAACCTAGCGCTTCAACAAGCCGCGCGGCGCGTGCACGAGACTCGCCGCTTTGGGGTCTGCACACGAAGGGACGCTCCCGTCTGTGCTTCAGGCTGCAAGACAAGGTTCCTTGGGTGAACTGGAGATCTTTTATTAGACCAACCCAAAGAGTTGGAGACTAGTGATTAAGTAAGCTTTCCAGTTCAAAACCCTTCGTCAGCCAGGGTCTCGCAGTGGGTCAGGCACCCTCGAGGTGTGTCCGGTGGTGGGGGAGAGGGGGGGCATGGGGCCCGAGCAGCGGCCGCGCTCCGGGCAGGGGCGGGCCACGCACGAGGTGCCGCAGCGGCCCCCGCAGCTCCCCGCTCGGGGCTCAGCATCCCCGCCCCGCCCCGCCCCGCCCGGCAGCGACGGGTATCGGGGGCGGGGCGGGGCGGGGGCAGCCAAGGG